GGGGGTGGGGCAGGCATTGCACGGGATAGAGCCGCAGCTCTTCTGGGGGGTGTGGGGGAAGGGTGGCTCCTGCCAATGTGGGCACCCCTGAGGGAGATGTGGGGGGCATGTGCCCCCGGATCTGTGCATGGGGTGAGGGCAGGCTGCCATTGCACACTTGGGGATGGAGGCTGTGCTGGCCTCTTCCCAGCAACGGGGCTGGGCCCAGGCTGTACCTGGGGCAGGCAGGGGTGGAGCAGGCAGCAGCAGCACTGGGAAGGGTGGCTATGGCATAATGTATTCACAGCCAGCGATAACTTTCACAATTTCAACAGGTTTTGAATGCAAGCTTTTCATGCTAGAACTTTTCAGTTTTTTTAAAAGAACCAGACTTACAGCACCATTCTGCAGCAAGGCTTTGCTAATAAGCAGCTTATTACCTTCTATATAGCAGTTCCCTCCTTCCCCACCCACCAGTTTTTCAAGTGGCTTGGAGCATGGCTCCAGTTCAGCCCCTTACAGCAGCATGGAACCAGCACCACTGTTCCAGCCCACCCCGGAAGCAACAGTGCCAGCGCCCTGCAATGGCTGCTATGGGGCCAGCGTGGAGCCATGCTCCATGCCACAGGCTGCTGCAAGGATGGAGCCTGCCAATGTGTAGCTAAGGTAAGGAGGAGTGTGGTGAAGGGAGAGGAAGACATGATGGGGGGTGGGGGCAAGTGACAGCTGCAACTTTGGCTCCAACTCCAGCAGTTTGGGGCCAGAGCCACAGCAGCCACTTCCCCCAGCCCCCATGCTCAATTGCAAAGTGAGGAGCTTTGCCCACTTGTTGTTAAAGGGGGGGGGTGGGAACCTCAACTTCTAATTGAGTAAATTCCTCAATAGGCTTAAACTGTTACTGCAGCTAACAGTGCAGGAACTAATATTATCTAGAAGTCAAAGGAAAATGGATAAAAAATTAAAGTATTAGCAAAAAGCCTTAACTGTAGGGTTTGTAATATTTTTGAGTGGTCTCAATATTTTCCCTATATTTAAAGGGACTGAAAATAACCGAGAATTGTAAAATGATTACTGACATTGTTGTTGTTTTGTTGATGGGAGTTAAAAAATGCAGACAAATTCTTGAAGGTTTGTAGATGTACATTCATCAGTTACAACAACCCTTGCTTTGAATTCCTGCTAAATACTGAACCTAAATTTAGAAACCGGATATAAAGTAGAATCCAATATCCATGCTTACAAAGATGAACCTTTGATTTGTTAATCTGAAGTATATACAAATCCCCCTCCCATCCAATACATTTGCTAATTAGTTCAAATTAATGTTTCAGATACATGGCAGCAGCCCAGTTCCCAAAATTAAAGTGCTTAACTGAATTTGGATTTTGTAAGATTGTCTATAGTGTGAATCAATCATTTTTGAAACTTCCTATCTGAGAAATGGACTGATGGGAAGAAAGTAAGGGTTTCGGTAATGGATTGCTTAAAAATTAAATGGCTTCTAGTTATTGGCTGAGACAGAGTACACAATTAGAGATGAAAGAAGTATCACAACACTTACGCACCCAGGAACCTGGCCTTGCTGTGTAAG